TGCCCCTGGTGAGAGGCGCTGAGCAGGAGTGAGCATACTTATAGCCCCCCAACTTGGTGCCTGTGTGTTGGGGTTCACCCCAGTGAATGAGAGGGTAGCCTCCCTCTGCCTACGTGTGGGGAGACAGGTTCTGACTGTCGTTTGTGCTTATGCACCAAACGGCAGTTCAGATTATCCACCCTTTCTGGAGTCCTTGGAGGGGGTACTGGAAAGTGCACCTCCTGGGGACTCCCTTGTTCTGCTGGGAGACTTCAATGCTCATGTGGGCAATGACAGTGAGACCTGGAGGGGTGTGGTTGGGAGGAACGGCCCCCCTGATCTGAACCAGAGTGGTGTTCTGTTGTTGGACTTCTGTGCTCATCATGGATTGTCAATAACGAACACCTTGTTCAAGCATAAGGGTGTCCATATGTGCTCTTGGCACCAGGACACCCTAGGCCGCAGTTCGATGATCGACTTTGTCATCGTCTCATCTGATCTGCTGGCACATGTCTTGGACACTCGGGTGAAGAGAGGGGCGGAGCTGTCCACTGATCACTACCTGGTGGTGAGTTGGCTCTGATGGTGGGGGAGGATGCCGGTCAGACCTGGCAAACCCAAACGTATTGTGAGGGTTTGCTGGGAACATCTGGCAGAGTCTCCTGTGAGACGGAGTTTTAACTCCCACCTCCGGTAGAACTTCGAATATGTTCCGAGGGAGGTGGGGGACATTGAGTCTGAGTGGACCATGTTTCATGCCTCTATTGTTGAGGCAGCTTACTGGAGCTGCGGCTGCAAGGTTGTTGGTGCCAGTCACGGCGGCAACCCTCGAACCTGATGGTGGACACCGTCGGTGAGGGATGCTGTCAGGCTGAAGAAGGAGTCCTATTGGGCCTTTTTGGCCTGTGGGACCCCAGAAGCAGCTGATGGGTACCAGCAGTCCAAGCAACATGCGGCTCAGGTGGTCGCTGAGGCAAAAACTCGGGCATGAGAGGAGTTCGGAGAGGTCATGGAGAATGGCTTCCGCACGGCTTTGAGGTGATTCTGGTCCACCATCCGGCGTCTCAGGGGGGGAAAGCAGTACGCCACCAGCACTGTTTATAGTGGGGGTGGTGTGTTGCTGACCTCAACTCGGGATGTTGTGGGTCGGTGGGTGGAATACTTTGAAGGCCTCCTCAATCCCACCGGCACGTCTTCCACTGAGGAAGTGGAGCCTAGGGACTCTGGGTCAGGCCCTCCAATCTCTGGTGCTGAGGTCACCGAGGTGGTTAAAAAGCTCCTTGGTGGCTGGGCCCCAGGGGTGGATGAGATTCGCCCGGAGTTCCTTAAGGATCTGGATGTTTTAGGGTTGTGTTGGCTTACGCGACTCTGCAATATTGCGTGGACATCGGGGGAAGTTCCCCTGGATTGGCAGACCGGGGTGGTGGTCCCCCTATTCAAAAAGGGGGACCGTAGAGTGTGTTCCAACTACAGGGGAATCACGCTCTTAAGCCTCCCTGGTAAGGTCTATTTGGGGGTTCTGGGGAGGAGGGTCTGTCGGATAGTCGAACCTTGGATTCAGGAGGAGCAGTGCGGTTTTTGTCCTGGCCGTGGAACACTGGACCAGCTCTACACTCTCAGCAGGGTCCTGGAGGGTGTGTGAGAGTTTGCCCAACTGGTCTACATGTGCTTTGTGGACTTGGAGAAGGCTTTCGACCGCGTCCCTCGGGGAACCCTGTGGGGGGTACTCTGGGAGTATGGGGTACCGGGCCCTTTGATACGGGCTGTTAGGTCCCTGTATGACTGGTGTCAGAGCCTGGTCCGCATCGCCAGCAGTAAGTCAGGCTTGTTCCCGGTGAGAGTTGGACTCCGCCAAGGTTGCCCTTTGTCACCGATTCTGTTTATAACTTTTATGGACAAAATTTCTAGGCGCAGCCAAGGTGTTGAAGGGATCCGTTTTGGTGGCCTTAGTATTGCGTCTCTGCTTTTTGCAGATGATGTAGTTTTATTGGCTTCATCAGATCGTGATCTACAGCTTTCGCTGGAGCGGTTTGCAGCCGAATGCGACACAGCCGGGATGAAGATAAGTTCCTCCAAATCTGAGGCCATGGTCTTGAGCTCCCGGAAAAGGGTAGTGCCCTCTCCGGGTCAGGGAGGAGGTCCTACCTCAAGTGGAGGAGTTCAAGTATCTTGGGGTCTTGTTCACGAATGAGGGAAAAATGGAACGTGAGATTGATAGGCGGATAGGTGCAGCATCTGCAGTGAAGCAGGCGCTGTACAGGTCTGTCGTGGTGAAGAGAGAGCTGAGTCAAAAGGCGAAGCTTTCAATTTACCGATCGATCTACGTTCCTACCCTCATCTATGGTCACAAGCTTTGGGTTGTGACCAAAAGAATGAGATCTCAGATACAAGCGGCCGAAATTAGTTTTCTCCGCAGGGTGTCTGGGCTCTCCCTTAGAGATAGGGTGAGAAGCTCGATCATCCGGGAGGGACTCAGAGTAGAGCTGCTGCTTCTCCACGTCAAGAGGAGCCAGTTGAGGTGGCTTGGGCATCTGTTTAGGATGCCTTCTGGACGCCTCCCTGGTGAGGTGTTCTGGACACGTCCCACCGGAAGGAGGCCCAGAGGAAGACCCAGGACACACTGGAGGGACTATATTTCTCGGCTGGCCTGGGAACGCCTCGGGATTCCCCCGGAAGAGCTGGCCCAAGTGGCTGGGGAGAGGGAAGTCTGGGCCTCCCTACTTAGGCTGCTACCCCCGTGACCCGACCCCGGATAAGCAGAAGAAAATGGATGAACATTATTTATCTGAGGAGCAGACTGCTTTGAGTTTAACTCATCACTGAACTCTCACTCAGTGAACTAAAGTTCATTAAAAGTTCATTAGCAGGATTTTGGATTCTGGACATGCCTCCAGAACCCATCCTGAAGTTCAGTGCAAATCCAGGCTGAGCTGAACAGAACTGAGTAGGAGCGGTGCAAAAGGGGCTTTAGTGTTTACTCTTAGTCAGCCTGCCACTCTCACCTGTTCCCAGTCTCCAGTCAGTTCAGCTGTCTCCAGTACCTCATTACCTAAACCAACCGAACCACCTAAACCAATTGGACCAACTAAACCAATT